ATACCCCTGCCCTAGTACAAGTATATACCCATGAATGTACCTATATTTGAATGCTGGGACAAATTAATAACCTGGAATATGGAATTATACATATTCTATAATCTCAAAAGTCTCAAAAAGAAATTCTTCCACTTTATGCACTTTCAAAATCACTTGGGGAGCTCCATCTATGATGGTGCTCCACAAGCATAAAAGCGCCTCTTGATTGGAGGCTATTTAAGGAATATGAAAAGTGCAGTAAGATTAAAGACCCGAAACATCTATAAAAATGTTCAAGCCGATTATGTTACAGTACCAAACTTAAGATTTTCCTAACTTTTGTTAAATGTTTATAATTGTAAGACGCATTACTGTCTATGCTGCACTGGCATTGTTTCTGTTGTTTGTGTATGCTGCTTAATATCTTTTTAGACTGAACAGGTATACAAGTGAATAAATATTGCAATAAATAAATACTTTCTAATATTAAGCCATGATACTTTCCCCTTGATTTTAATAAAACACTTTACTCTTTCTCAGTAAATTGAGCGGAGCTGAAGAGGGCATGTTTTCTCTAAATTGCTCACACTATCCAGTCCCTATAACAGCAGAGGATTGGGGTGGGGGTGGGGAATCACAATTCCAGTTGCAGCAGTGCAGAGTTGAAAGCCTGCCTCTGTAGTACATGCATGGATCCTGCTGCAGATGCCGCTGCATCTGCACAATGAGGCTATTAATACATGACCTTGGGCTAGCCTGCTCAGTCTGTGTTTACAATATTTCTATGGAAGGTAACTGTGCATCTAAACTTCCTTGGAGACCGTGCAAATACAAGACAAGAGACATCTCCAGGTGTGCTTAGACTGAACAGCTATTGATTTTATTGTTGCAGTCTTGTATGGTGTACATATTAGGTGCAATCTGATGAAACCCGTTACACTATGTTCCTGCTTTAGTTTATTTTCAGTTGATGTAAATACTACTCTGTGCAATCTCTCTATTTATTCTTTTTAACTATGAGCCTTGGCTAGAAATTTGCAGACATTGTAAGAAGAAAAATATGGATAAAGAAAGATATTTGTTGCTCTGTTATACCAAATCTAACATCACAACCGAAGTAGAAGTTTTAAAATACTGTAAAATGGATAGCCGATGTTAATGGGAAAGGGGTGTGTGTATGTATGGGGACACAGATATATAAATATGTCAGAATTTTGTCTAATCTTCATTAGTGAAAAGAAGCTGCTTGAGCAGTTAGAAAGCAAGAAAATAAGCTGTTGCAAAAAGGCATGAATTGCCTACTACTAGCAAGTAGGTTTGGTTTTAATCAGGGTGGTTTCATTTATTTTAACAGTTGTGCTGATTTATGTGACCAATTATATCTCAGCACCCTGAGGTTTTAAATATACTCCTTTTAAAAATAGCTAAGATTAGCTCTTTTGCCTTTCCTGCACGAGCTGGGAAACACTCCTTAATAAAGCCCAAATACAATTGTTTCTGTGACAGTTGGCATTAATGAAACATTAATAAGAAGAACAAAAAGGAAAAGAACTGGTGTGCAAGCTATCATCCTCCCAGACAATATCAAATATAATTTCTAATAAGCTGGAAGCAAGTTAAGCTCTTTGGAAGAGAAATAAACTTTGTAAAGCAATTGGTATTTTGGAAATAAAGCCTACTATAGAATTTGTTTACATCAAATCCAGATTTTTCCCATGTAAGATATTTGGCTATAGAAAGCTTTCAGGAAATTTACCTGACACCAGGACTGAAAAGTTGATGCTTTATGGATAAAGAATGTGGTATGGGATGAAGAGATACCTGTTTGTAACCTTATAACTTTAGAGGAGTTACTAATTTGTCTAGTCTTGCTATAGTGAAGGTTAGAAGGCAATTATTTATGTATTTCTTTTTTTAATTCTTGATCATTTTTTCTTGTCTTTTTTTCTTGGTTCTTGGGGCTTTTTATCCTTAGTATTGTTTTTCTTTCTGTTTAATTTCTTTTAAGTTTAGGTTGTGTTCAGTTTTACTATTGTAATCAAAATCCTTAATTAAAAAGTATACACAGCAGGAAATTCCAGATTTTTTGCTCTCTAGCCAAACGCCCACATTTTTGCAGCCCAGATCTGCAAAATTGTCTTTGAAGGTACTTGACCCTAAATTGAAAGGACAAGTTAATATAATAGTTGAATCATGATGCAGAAATTAATCAAGTGACCTTACACTGAATTCAATCATTGCTAAGTACTGAAGAGCCTAGAAAGAAGGAGTGTCAACAATGTCATTGTTTTTTGGTCTTATTTGGAGCAGGTTTGAACCTTCTTTCTACACTGCTGTAGTTCCTGTTTGAATCTTGGGGAGTGAGAGTATAAATATTCTGATATCTTTGCACATTTTGTACCAAAGGTTTTTCTGAGCTAAAAGAAAAAGCCTTACCTTTTCAATTTAAATCTTGAACACCTCTACAGACTTTTCAGATAATTTAGATGGATGGTTTTTCTAAATTTGGTTAGAACAGGGCTAGGTAACTAATATAAATTAAGTAATCCCCTAGAAAGCTACAGGGAATTTATATAGTGCCTTCATTTTAAATCATGCTGTCATTATATTGATTTTAAATTTGTTGTGGGTTTTTGTATATAAAGAAAAGCACAGTTAAATCCAGCAGAGAGTTTGACCTATTGACAAAGATTACATATTTTGTCTGATCAAGTCTTGGCTCTTGAGGGAAATGCAGGAGAAAACAATCTTAACCTTTAAAATGTAGAGTAAAAAGAAGCGTTTCTTGATGTGTTTTCATGCACATGCATAAAGAACATTGATTATAGGTCTGACATTACACTATTACATATAGTCTTCATTTAACAACTCTGAGGTTACAATAGATTTTTAAAAAGCTATTTGCAAACCATCCTCAAAGTTACAACTGCACATCACAGTCATGTGCACACATACACATCATAGTCATGTGACCACATTTTAGGCACTGGCAACCAACTTGCATTTATGACCAGCTGCAATGTTCCCACCATCACATGACTGCAATCTGCATTATTTTGGGGCATTTTTCATCAGAAAATGGAATACCTGCAATGGATGCAAATGTTAAAGAATTTTGAAATCAACCAGTTTGATTTTCTGATATGAATTTATTTTTCCCAGTTGCTTTCATTCTGATAAAAACTGACACTGTTTGGAACTGAGTTAACATAAGGGAGGTAGCAGATTAGTGTGATCATCATAGGAGGAATATCTACTTGAACAATGAGACTTCTTTTTCGTATATACACATAACGGTGTTCTGGAAGGTTCTCCAGCTTCCTAGATGCACAGCATGTTTAACTCAGCAGGATTTCTAAATAAACATTTACACAATTTCACTATTAAGCTGAAATGTAAATAGACTAATATGTATTTAATCTCTTTGTACCCATCTTTCTACTTTAAAATGTAAGGCACAGGTAATTGTTTCAAACATGTTATAACCATGATGGCGAACCTATGGCACGCATGCCACAGGTGATATGCAAAGCCCTCTCTGTGGGCAGGAGCTGTTGCCCCAGCTCAGCTCCACCGCGCATGCGCCTCCCATCAGCCAGCTGATTTTCAGGTCTCTTCTGCGCATGTGCAGGAGGTGGGGAGAGTGCAGGGGGAGGCAGCATGGGCCCCCCACATTCCCCATTTTGGGTCTAGTAGGCATCCCTGCAACCTCCTGGGAGCAAAAACGGGCCGTGGGGCAGCCGTGCTGCACCCCACCCTGCTGCCTGTTTTTGCTCCAAGGAGGCTGCAGGGAGGTCTACTAGGCCCAAATCAGCATGCAGGGAGGTCGCGCGCACAGGCATGGAGGGGCAGGGAGAGCACGGGGGTTGTGTGCGCATTCACAGGGGGCAGGGCGAGCGGGAGGGGTCACATTGCATTATGAGTGCAGGCACGTGCACGTGCTAATGCGCGCATAGGCACACACTTTGTCACAACAACAAAATGGTTAACCATCACTGAGTGATGACTGACATATAGGAGTCACCCTACAGGCTGTTAAATGGGCACCAAAAAAAAAAAAATTTGTCCCAAAAAATTGTTCCCAAAATTGACCTGGGTGACTGAAAATCTCCAAAGATAAGAAAAAAAGCATACTTTTTTAATGACCAAAGTTCCTCAACAAGATAATCAAGTCTTGTTAGTTGATAATATTATAAGATATTGATGATTCGAGAAATCAGCAATTGGGTTCTGTAAACCCACATTGCTGACCCTTTGCTGATATCATCTTTCTGTAACAATGCAGTGATACATATATGGAAACAATATAAATTGTTTATATAAATTGTAAATATCACATGATGAAAAGCTACCTAAAAAGTCTTAATGCTCTTTAAAATAAAAGCTTTTCAGCCAAATAATTATAACAATGAAACAATTAAGATCAATGTACAAATGCTACTAGGTAAAAGGGATCTGAATTATAAATTTATTACTTAATCCCGCAATCTAACATCTGAGATGGTTGTTCTGGTAGAGCTAACATTGCTAGGTTTCAAAACTCAGGACAGACCATTCGATAGCAAATACGCTTTTACGTTCTTTTGAGAGAAGTTGCATGATTTACAATTCCAGAACTGCAAAAATATGGAGGAGCAATAGATGGCAACGAAAAGATACAGAAAATTCTAAGTCTCCAAATTGCTATCTAGATATTTATAGTCAACACATGCTAATTCTCTACTCAGGGGAAGTAGGTTCATAACTATCTCAGTGTGAGCTATTTAAGTACAATTATGTATCTAAAAGGACAGTGCCAGACTTGCCTATAGAAGGGTTGGTGTTCATAAGAATGGAGAACCTGATTAATAATACAGTTTACAAAAATACTTGTGCCTAGAGGAATTTAGAAATCCAATTCGTATTAGCAGATTAATTAAGGTTTATTGTACTATCTAAATTGCTCTTGGCATAGTAATTTTTTCCCCTATGCTTATTATGAAATATTTACTCATTTGAACATGATACTTTAGAAGGCTATAGATAGGGCTTATATATAATTTATATTAAAGCCACTATTCCAATGTTTCAAGGCAGTGTAACTCAGATGAATCAGGCAGATGAGTGTAAATGTTCAAATCTTCCTCCAGGGCTTGAAAAATTCTTTGTATTTTTACCTTTAAAAAAGTGGGGAAGGAAACAGGGAAGAAAAGAGAGAGAGGTTTTAAAAAATTGGACTCTTGGGGCTGCTTATTATTACTATAGCTATATCCAAGTGTTTAGGTCAGACTAATTTCCTAAAAATATCTCTTGCACAGGCATAATTTCAACCTAAAGAGCTCCCAGTGTCCAAATATGTCATTATATCTCATGCAATGTGGTAGCTCATAATGAACCAGAGATGTGCAATCGAACTTTCTTCTCTAGTTCTCTTCATCTCTCTAATGAAGCTGCAGTTTGTTTACTTCTAGTGCTTTTATACCCCAATATAACATGAATAAAAGGAGTGTCAAGTACATGAACTGTATAGGAACTCTGTAATTCAGAGCAGGAACGTCCAATGAACCAGATACAGGCTGGAAAGCTTGAATTGTATATCCTAGAAGTTTTGAGATCTGGTATTCCATTAAAGCTTCCAACAAATTTATAATTTTTAATGTGAACCAAGAGGAAATTGATTAATTGATTAGACACAGAAAGGTGATTTTATTATCAGCATTCAATTAAAGCAAGTTTTATTTATGTCCTATCCACTTTTTGGCTCTTAACATGTTGTTCAAGACCAAATTTGGCCCTCACCCTCCATAAAAGTAGTGAATCCTTTTAGTAAAAAAACTATTTTTCAAATATTCTACTTCAGAACTTTATCATCAACCAACAGAATATCAAAGAAAACTGGATGACAGGACTGGGCACACTTGCTGAACACTGCAGAATATCTTACACTTTTTTGAAATTGCAGGAGGAAACCAGTATTAGCACTTAGCACTTTTACATTTCTCCTGATGTACCCAAGCTTCACTTTCCTAAGGGCAGAATGTATTTAGAATAATAGAATTGGAAGCTCTTCTGATCCAACCCACTGCACAAGCAGAATACAGAATACAATTCTGGACAAATGGCTATCCAATCTCTTCTTAAAAACCTCCATTGTTGATGCACCCGCAACTTGAGAAAGTAAGCTGTTCCAGTGGTTGATTGGTCTCATTGTTAAGAAATTTCTCTTTAGTTCTAGATTGGTTGTCTCCTTGATTAGTTTCCACCGATTGCTTCTTGTCCTGCGAAGCACGCTCTTATAGAACCAGTAGGAAAAAATTTGGAACCCCACCACTGGCTATGATTCTGTGTGATTTCCAGATCCACATGGACAGGGAGGTACTAGCCAATCAACCAGATTATCATGGTAGTAAATAAAGACAGAAGACAGTAGGAGTGATAAATCCAGTGGTGCCAAGTGACAGCAACTTCAGGAAGAAGTTGGGTAGTTGGAGATGTACCAGAACCTAAAGGAGGAACTGGAGAGAATGTGAAAAGTAAAGGACAAACTGGTGCCAGTGATGATAGAATTAGGGCTATGACTATAAGCTGGGAGCTCCAACAAATCACAGGAACAACATTAGAGCTCTCTGTCCAAAAGAGAGTGCAGGGCAGGAAAGAGCTAAGATACTGCACAGAACCCTCAAACCGCCAGACTTCTGGTAGAGGACCTGAGACTGAGGAAGATACATATGGATGAAAAGAGAATTTAGATAAAAGGAGAGAGAGAGAGAGAGAGAGAGAGAGAGAGAGAGAGAGAGAGAGAGAGA